AAAATAATTTTTTTACACTTTTTATATTTTAATATTAACTTCTACTACTAGATCTGCTTTCTTATTTTCTAAGATATTTATATAAACAAATATTTAAAATAAATAAATTTTAATATTTTTTATTCTTTAATCTAATTTTTTTTACTATTTATTCTCTAAATCAATTCAAGATATATTTAATTATTTTACATTTTATATTTTTAATATTATACTCTTAAGTGATAATATTATTAACTAATATAAAAGTTTTTTAAAATGTAAATAATGTCATAGCTCAACTAAAGACATGATGATAACAAGATAAAAGCTCAATTTATCTAACTAGACAGCTGCGATGAGAACACTAAACTGAAGATTAAAATGTGAAAATGAATGAGAAGCTGAATATATACAAAATGATTGAAAATTGAAACAAATCAATTTTATCTCATATTATCAGCAACTGCGCTGTAATAAATAACTCAGCATTATAAACTTCATATTTGTAAAATTTTGAAAGTGTAATCTATATTCAGAGTTAAATTTAAAATATAAATTTTTAAAGACTGTATTAGATATCTTATAATTTATAAATAAAAACATAGAAGTAAGCTTAATTTTAAATTTTAAATTTTTTTTAAAAAATTTTCAATAATATGAAATAATGATATCATTAATATAGAAAAAATTTATTAGTTTTTTACTTTAATGAAAATAAAGTTGCATCTTAGTTGACTATAAATTTATTTTGTAAAGTTGAAAGTCTAATCTTTTATTTCATAAAAATAAATATATAAGTAGATTATAATCAAAGTCAAATACTATAGTTATTATTAAAAAAGTTTAAAAAATCTTAATCATGAGAAAGATTTAGATAAGTTAATTTATAATAGATTTTGTGACAGACTAGCTGCTGAGAACAACTAATATCTAATGCTCATAAAAACAGAAAGAAATCATTAAAAGAGAAAAGAAAAAAAATAGATCATGTAGAGGATTGAGGTCCTCTTTTATAAAAAGCAGAGATTCAGTATGAAGACTAGCGCCTTTGTAATAGGGGCTATATGAATAGGAGTAGAGGCGCCGCCTCAGTAGCGCTGACTTGATGGCGTTATTTGATAGCGCGAAGGCGTAGCCTGAGTATCATGAGGGTTAGAGCATAGCTTTTTATACATTCTTTCTAATATTCAAATCTTGCTTTTAATTTAATGAGATAGTTATCTGTATCAAATTTATTGATAAATACTAAAATAGTAGATAAATTATAAGGACATATAAATTGATAAACAATATCTTTTTAAAACTTAGTCAATTTTTGAAATTTGAATCACAAATACTGTCATAGCTCAAATAGAGGCATGATAATAACAAGACAAAAGCTCAATTCATCTATCTATCTAGGCAGCTGCGGCAAGAATACTAAACTGGGGATTAGAATATGGGAATGAACGAGCAGTCAAATATAAATAGATGGTTGGGAATCAGAGTGGATCAATCTAAGCAACTGAATATGGTTGAGGTTGGAGCGGATCAACATTATCCCATATTACCAGCGAAACAAATACTATTAATAAAAAGATCTTATCAAATCTGATAAGATATTTAATTATTATAAGATTTGAATAAAAATTGAGAGTTTGGTTCATAAAGATATACTTTTCCTTAATAAAAGTCATTATAAAAGTGAAAATTATCAATAATTTTCATTATCAACTCATAGTACTTGATCTAAATAGTTAGAAAATTGAATATAAAAGAAACTAAGTCTTTATGAATAACTTCACCAATCATCAAAAGATTTCATCTACTAATTGTTGAGAAAATTCATATTTTATCTTATATAAAATCTTTATTATTATTTATTTTCTTTTATTCTTATCAAGTATCTATACTACTTATATTCAATCTCTATAGACTATAAGCTTATGATTAGAACTAGCTTACTGTAGCTGAGAATAGAGATAAGCTAAAAACTAAATATATATTTATAGAATATTTCAATTAAATTGAACTTTAACTAATTTTTTAAAAAGTCTAATAGAACTCAGTTAAGATTTAGATCATACTTTCATAAAATCTTTATTTAAGTTTGATTAAGCTTTAGTAAAGAAAATGTTACAATAAAATTTAAATATTTCTCTTAGAAT